GTGCAGACCCCAAGGCAGTGGGAGTCTCCCTGTGCCACAGCATCCAGCTCACGGCTATAAAACCCTAGAGGTCTGCGGAGGCCCCTGTGAATTTGGTCAACACCCCATGACAGCCCCTTGCCTTTATACAAAAAGGAGAAAGGGGTCTGGTAATCAGGTTGCCTACAGAAGGAAGGTCTCTTCAAATGCTCCTTTAAGGACTTGAATCTGTGTCTTCTGGTACCTCCCTTAAAATGGAGTCGGGATTGCCAGTGTTGAGAAAACTTCATCTAGGTTTTCCTTGAGAGAGATGTGTGGAATCTGCCTCAAAGGTAATCAGCTAGCCTTCCACAATCCCTCGTATTTGGCAATTAGTGTTGCATTTAGGAAGCAGAAAAACACCATGGATGTAAGTAGAGCCTTGTTCTGACGTCAGATGCCCTAGACATCAAATATGATGCTGGAAAACTGCACATTTTCTGTAGCCAAATTTAGTCCCTTAGAGGCTAAAAGTTTGTAAGGAGTAGATGCTGTCTTCCTGCAAGAACGTTTGAGAAGAAAGGCAAAGAGGCAAATTATCCACATATTGCAACAAAAGAGAAAATCTAGAAAACTTTAGATCATCCAGACCAGCCTTCCGGTGGCTCCAGAAATGAGAAGGACTCTCGATAAATCCCTGGAACACTAATGTTCTGGTGAGCTTTATTCTTCCCACTGAAGGTAAAAAGGTAATGGCTACCTCCATCGGCTGGAAGAGTAACCAGTGCACAGTGGACACCAGTTACAGTAAAGGCCTCACTTCCAGTGGGAGTGGATGTTAGCACCACAGGAGGGTTAGGGACGACAGGGTGATAAGGATTAAAGTGCACTTTGCTATTGTTATTATGTTTGCAATTATTTTGCTTTTTATTGAAGTGTGTTTGATTTACAATGTTAGTTTTTGGTGCATAGCAAACAGATTCAGTTATGCATATATATTTTTTTTTCAGACTTTTTCCCACGATATGTTATTATAAGACATGGAACACAGTTCCCTGCACTATACAGCAGCTCTTTGTTTTATATCTGTGTTACATAAGGTAATGTGAATCTGTGAATCCCAAACTCTTAATTTATCCCTCCCCTGCCCTATGCACTTTGGTGAACATAGTTTGTTTTCAATGTCCATGAGTCTACTTTTGTCTTGTGAGTAAAATCTTTTTTCATTTTTTTAATTCCACGTATCAGTGAGATCATGGGATAAGTTTTCTGCTATCTGACTTAACTCACTTAATATGATTGTGTTTATATCCATGTGTGTTGCTGCCGGTGGCATTATTTTACCCTATTTAAAGTACAAGTGGAACACATACGTGATGAAGAATTGCTCAGCCATATTTCAATGCAGTATGCTGATCCAAGTTCCTGGACATCACTACCCCCTTGGCACTGGGGTTTTCTCTCCAGGAAAACAAGAGTATCTCAGAAACACCTACAAAGGCCAGTGAAGCCTTCAGCCTTGGAATCTGCTCTTCTGGGCTTCATGGCCTGAAGGGCTTCCTTCCTTGCAGGACTTTGATTAATGCTGGGATGGTGTTAAATTCTGTTTGAATTTTGAAGGAGGCTGCACTCTGAAGTTTGCCAAAATGTTTTGGGGATTTTGCCCGAAAAGGGGTGGTAACTAACTCAGTAGGAAAAATGGTCGCTGCTTCTACAATTAGCTGTAGTATCATCAGAGACAAAATGAGTAAAAGATGTCTCAGGGCCACTTGATTAATTTCACACATACTTTGATGGCTGCTCTCACATGCCGGAAACATTTCCCCCTTTGGGGGAGACAGAAACTATAGCAGGATGCTTCACTGTGAAGTCTCATTCAGTAAATGGATAGGGTTGGAGTTACTAAGGAGTAAAAGGTGTGCATCTCTCAAAGGGCCTAAATATAAGGGGGAGGACCAGAGGCAGAGACCCCTGGAGGCTCGTCACAGGTCCCCACTGGGTGAGCTGCTGTAGTTCCCTGAGCTTGGGCTGCCTTCAGTAGCTCAAGTGAGTAGGGAGAGTCCGGCTCCAGTGCCCAATATGACTGGGGGAGACACACTTCCATTCTGGAGAAATGCTTGTCCAAGCCTATTGAGAGAAAAGACTGAGAAGAGCCCAAATATTCCCTCAGAGCCTGTCACTGGGATCAGGAGGATGTGAGAAGGCTGGTCAGAGGGCTGATGGTGACCGAAGTGCACACGTTTGTGATAATCTCTGTCCCAGTGTCCTGGCTGTTGGGAAACAATAGCAGAAACTAAGGGGGCTTGGGTTGTATTCTGGGGTTTTATTTGCTGGATTT